GACGAGGAGGAGGAGTTATAGACCTACAATATTTATCTATTTGCATTCTGTGATAACTTACTTTTCGAATGAATTTGACCATGATATATATAGCACCGATCGAGCACACTTTGTTCAGATGATGTTTAGCACATGGTGAGAAATATTTCACATATAGAAAAAGTAATCCATTGTTATACTCTTTTCTCGATTTACTGCACCAGTAATGGTCATAATACTGTACGGCCTGTCAGACAGGCTTGGTGAGTTATTGCAACGGACTGTTCTAAGTTTGGAGTTTCCCCAAGAACGATGACACCCGCGAACTACTTAGTTGTATACATCCAGAGGGAGCCCAATATGCCTAGTATCCGACACGTCTAGGCATAATGGCATAAATCGAGCCCAGTCGTGGGCTTCCAGAGATCTCTACAGAATCATCGAACTCTTCTGTTCCAAACAGACAGCATTGTTTTCAACCTAGGTATTGTTCCATGCAGAGCTGTCTAGCTCTTTGCCCGTATGTCGGTCGAATACAAAAGAATCCCCACATGGTAACCAGTTCTGGACCAAATATGGCTCAAGTCAATGATAGAGCCATGGGCAGCAGACTCAACTGTGCGTTCGGGCACACCTTTTTGCTCTGGGTATGATTTATGGGCGCCGCGGCAAATGCACAAATGACCTGGGCATGCCAATCGTGAGCAAATTTAGACGGCAATGTTCGATGCAAATTAGAAGTGTTGAAATGGGTGGTTAATATTGCGTGCAGACAGACCGGCTAAAATATGTCTACGCAACATGCATATGTCACACGCGGCCATATTCTGTTGCACTGTGGAACGACCAGATTTCGGAGAAGAGGATGGCCTGTCGCGAGTTTGAAAATCCCCTGAGTCTGCCGCTCTACAGCGGCGTTCAAGAGTGTCTTGGTGGAGCTCTGGTGACATATAAGTCATGCGTGTATGTCTTCATTCGCAGGTTGGGATACCTCCGTCAGAAGACTACACCATCTTTGCGCCCATTAGCATGACCGGTCCCCCAGAAAGTCGCCCTCGAACCCTTTGGTTCGGTAACTATACCTCCATTACTCCCGCTATTGTCTCCTCCGTGGCAGGTAGAGCGAACTCCGCTCAGAATGATGGCCGCAACTCCCTTCCAGTTTGCGTCTGTCATGAACAGGACCCATGGTCCGTGTACAAACCAAGAGCCCATATTTTTCCAGGACGCCAAGTCACTCTGGCTCAGCATCGGATAAATAAACAGGACATCGTCAACGTGCAATGTCTTTGCATCGATCGATCTCAGGTACAACATCTTCTAGAAACCGTCAGTCAGCTTTCTCATGACAGCTTTCTACGTCTGCTTAATTCATACTACAATCAAAACCAACTATTTCTGGTATGGGAACCCGTAGAGCTTTCAGTGGAAGACATGGTCTCCGCTAAATGGCCCATCAACGAGACTGAGTTGGCGGGAATTGTGTGGTCGGTGAGTGTCATTCTGAGATTGGCGGCCGCCGTGCTGATGAGGAAAGACACTGGTGGCAATCAGATTCCTGCGTGACAAAGGAAGAGCATTAGCCACCCTTGGGGCAGAGTCAATCCTGCTGAATGAAAATGGCGTTGTCCGGGTCGGTATGTAGCTTTCAATGTCAACATTGCCAGCGACCTTGCAAACTAACCCAGCAACACTAGCCGGTGTGGAACACAGCTGCCAGCTACAACCGTCAGAGATGAACGCCCATACTTTGAAATTGACAGCCCTCGCCGGAATCATGAGTAGATTGATGGCGAAAAGTCCGGGAGAAAACGGTTGGAGCCCACAGGCGCAAGATTTTCTTCAGAACCTGGCCATAAAACCACTTGACAAGTTGATGCAGGTGAGCTCGCCACATCTCTAACGCAAGAAGTTGTCTTGCTGACCGACCGTTAGGAACCATTCCTTGCGAAGAGAGCGGACGAGAGAGACCTGAAGTTGTGCGTCTACATCACGAACAAAATTGCGGATCACAACCTTATGACGCTATACCGCCAATGACGTTTATGATGGGTTGTAATGCTGGACTTTGAAGAATAATCGCCTTGCGCGATAGCTTTTATGGTCTACATTCTGTAGTTAGTACTCCTGGATTATCTCGATGCCCTTTCATTGGTCCTTCATCAGAAGCAAACTCCACTGTCCTGAAAATGGCCGATAGCACTCAGCGCCTGGTCATGTAGCTCTGAGACTTACTTTCATTCATGATTAGAAATCTGCAAGCGATTTTCTGGTAGATAATGAGCGTACTCAGTCCTTTTTATGTATATTCGTCGCCAAAGCCCCGATCTTCAGTAGGCTGTTAAAACCGTCTCAGTACAAATACCTAATGAGGCCTTGTTCCGTCAAATTCATTGCGTTCTTACGTCTGGACAGCATCTTCTTGTTCTGGGAGCGGCTTGTTTGTATACTCAAGTCACCACGAGGCTACACCACCTCATTTTCATGTTCGAGACAACATGGGTAATATGACTATTTCCAACCAGCTGACAAGTTTATGCCAACTGAGCGCCAGGGGCACCGTGCACCATTCAACACTAAAGACCTTCCGCCATCGAGCTTATCGATCTATCGTGTAGACATCCCCACAGATTTACTGTCCGTTTCCGCGTTGCAAGACGGGATGGCTCGGCAGACTTTCACTTCGTGGTATGCT